TGCTGATGATGCTGCTGATGATGATGATGATGGCGATGGTGATTGTGATGATGATGATGGTGATGATTGTGATGATGATGCTGATGCTGATGCTGTTGAGGATGCTGATGACGCTGCTGATGCTGGTGCTGATGATGGTGATAGTGATGGTGACGGTGATGATGATGATGATGATGATGATGGTGATGATGATGACGATGATGATGATGATGATGATGATGATGATGGTGATGTTGATGATGATGATGATGATGATGATGATGATGATGATGATGATGCTGATGATGGTGATGATGGTGATGACTGTGATGCTGATGCTGCTGATGTTGATGATGATGCTGATGCTGATGCTGATGCTGATGCGGATGCTGATGCTGATGATTGGGCCGTCCTGGGTCTGTATTGGCCTCCCGTGAGGCAGTCATGGTGGTCCCTTGGGGTCCTAATGCGCCGGCTTGGGGCCCCCTGGGGAGGTCTTGGGGCCCTCTTGACCGTATAGTGCGTGCTTGGGGGTCGTCGTGGGGCCGTCTTGGCGCCGTCTTGGGTTGTCAAAGGGCCTTCTGAGGCCGTCTTGGATTCCACGGGAAGCTCTCTTGGGCCGTTTTGGATGCCTTTTGGGCAATCGAGGAGTCCTCTTGGGCCGTCTTGAGCTGACGACAGCCCGAAAAGGCGAGAATGCTAAACTCATTCAAACACCTAAGAGGAAATCAATGATTTGGGCTTCTTCGGACCCTGCTGGAAGTGCTCTTGTGGCTATTTGGGTTCCTCTTGGAGACATCTTTGGCCGTCTTGAAACAACATTCGGCCGCCCTGGGGCCATCTTGGGCCGTCTTCGAGGCATCGCCATCGTGGTGTCCCTGGTTGCCTGCGCGGCCGTCTTGGAAGCGTGGAGCGCGGACCCATCGTTTTTAACGAGGGATGGTGGCTTCGGAGGCCCTGGATCGATTGAGAGCAGCGCCTGGGAATGCGGGAAGTGCACGATCCTCGATCCGGCGCGCCTGGGATGAGGGGTCTAGGAGTTAGCAGCCATGCGGGAAGTGGACAATCCCGGAGCGGGCGCGCATGGAATGAGGGTTCTGGCAGTAGCTGCCATTCGGGCAGTGCACCATCCTCGAGCGGGCACGCATGGAAGAGGAGCTCAGGCATATGCTGGCATGCGGGAAGTGCACCATCCTCGAGCGGGCGCGCGTGAAATGGGGGTTGAGGCATGTGCTTCAATGCTGGAAGTGCACCACATCCTCGACGGAGAGGAAGAGCGATGCACGCGAGAGTCTGCCAGATAGATCGTGACAGTCTTCCACGCCTCAACGTGCCAGGGCGGGCACGCTGGCGGACGAACGCCCCGAATGCGATGGGAGGCCGTGGGTGGCCATGCGAGACCATTCGGGAGACCACGGGAGGCCACAGCGCCCGCCCGATTCCCGATCCGGCGATCGAGGCCCCGAGAGACCACGGGATGCCCCGGGAGACCACGCCGCACGTCCGCAACACGCGGACGAAGGGGGCGGAGGCCCCCCGCCTTCGCAAGGAGGCCGAGGTGCCGCAGGACGCCAGGGTGCGCTTCCTGAAGTGGCTCGGGGTCCAGCCTGATGCCCCAGCAGGCGAAGAGCGCTCCGCCTCGGTGGCTGGCGCTGTTGGGGGCGGCGCTGGCGGTGCGGCCTCTTCCTCGACGGAGGCGCCTGTGGCGGCTGGAGGTGCCGCGGCGGGCGCGGGCTCGCGGCAGGCCTGGCTGGGAGCCTATGGCCTCGATGAGGAGAGCCTTCAGAGCTGGGCTGCTGCGGCCGAGGAGGCCCGAGCCGAGCGGCAGAGCAGGAAGCGGCGCAGAGATGATGGAGATGGAGGTGGTTGAGTCCTGGCTGGCCCCAGCCTTGGGGCGCTCGGACCGCGCGAACGCGCGAGTGCCGTGCTCTCGTGGCTCCTGACTGTGGAGCGCCAGCCTGCCTCTCCTCCTGTCCTCCCTCTGCGTGTGGGACCCCTGGTGGCCGCGGGCCTCGGCGCGAGGGCGTGAAGATTCTTGCGCCTCGCCTGCCTCGCCGTGCCGCCTGGTGCCGTGCAAGCATGTTTGGGGCGTCGCCCATCGAATGTTTGCATGCTTGTATATATTCCAGCGCTTCGCGCTGATGCCCCTTGACGGGGGTCCAGAGCTGACGGGCCGAGTAGTGCCTCGGGGCCGATGCGCCCTGGAGGCAGCCTCCTGCGGCTCGTCTGGGCTCTAGGGGTCCCCTGAGGCCCTCCCCCTGTCTTGGGACGGCCCCTTTGGGCTTGGGCCTCTCAGTGGGGCCTGGGCCCTCTGTGGGCTCCCCTTTAGCCTTTTATAGGCCCCGCGTTACACGTTACACGGCAAACCGAGGCGCCCGACCGATTCCAGATCAGGCGATCCCATGCGTGTCGGCCTCTTTGGCGGAATTCAGCCAGATGTTTGCAGACACGCTGTTTCGGGAAGCGCCCAACACCAAATCGCCTCCCCCTCTTCTCTCTTCCTTGTGGGTTAGGAGGCCAC